TAGAAGGTGATGATACAATTCAGTAGATGATGCTGGAAGAAGGGAACCTTTGCAAGTTACCGTATCTTACCTGCTTTTTGTAGCAGAGAACAATGCACACTAGAACTCTCTGAGACATTTTCACCTGACAGAGGAATCTTATCTTTGTAAGATTGCTGTTTCATAACATACTGACGTTTAGCTGTTACTCCTTCCCTCTTAGCCTGTAGTATATTTCTTTGTCTTCCCTGAGGACTGTTTTTAAAATGCAGGGGGTTTTGGGTGAAATGCCAGGCCTGTTGTTTTTGCCCTTTAGTCGAAGGAGTCAGAGTGTGCAGCCTGTGACATACGCTCAGCTCTCTGCTTAGCTCCTCCCCAGTCCCTAAAGCCCCAAACCAGATTCTTTCCATCAGCGTGGCTGTAATTAGAGCCTCTCCCGCAATGGAAGCGCCTCCTAAAACATCTCAAATTCATTTCTTTCCTGAGGATTAAGTGTTAAACCTCATTGGCCACAATATCAGTGTTTTAAGAATCCCTTTTCTAAAACTCCTAGACGTGCAGGATGAAGGTTACTAAACTCCACTAACAGTATCAGATGCCCCTTATCATGTGAACCTGGGGCAGGGCCCGTTTCCAGCATGGCATCCTTTACCCCCAACCCCTTCCCTTTAATGAGATGTGCTGAGGGAGAGAGGGGTTTTCCCCACCCTGGTCAGTGGCCTAGGGGTTTACAGATGTAAGTTATAAAGGAGCCTTCAAAGGGTCTCTTGCTTCCTGCCTTTCCTTAACCTCACACCCCCTTCCAGCCTGTGGCCAATCCCTGACTTCCCTTTTGTGCATTCTTTCCACGAGCACTTACTGAGTGTCTGTTATATGCCAGAAACTGTTGTAGGCATTGGGGATGGAAAAGATGGAAAAGGTGCCTATGCTCAACAACTGACATTCCAGCAAGGGAAGATAAGCAAAAAAACCCCTCATAAACTGATGAAATGAAACGAGGGTTAATAAGATAGTGAAGGGCTAGAGTGGGTATTTGGTGGGGTATTCAAATAAAGCCTCCCCCAGGAAGACCTTTCAGCTGAGATCTGAATGGCAAGAAGAAAACCTGCTGGGAAGAGATTGGAGGAAAAAGCATTCCAGGTGGAGAGAATAGCAAGTGCAAAGGCCCTGAGGTCAGGCAAGCTTGGTGTGTTCAGAAAAGAAGACTGTGTGGCTGGAACAGAAGTGGACAAAGGGTAGGGGGTGGGAGACATTTAGAGAAGTAGGCAGGGACTAATAACGTTCAACCTTGGATGTGATCTTTTTCCAAACAGTAGGAAAAGTCAATGTACATTGCATTGTTCCTACGTCCTCGCTTTCTCACTCTACTGTATGCAGAGTGCCCCTCGTGCCAGGCAGTTGGGGCTGCCTTCAATAAGATCATGAATGGCCACACAGTACTCAGTTCCGTGGGCTCTGGGCGCTATAGACTTTGGTTTGGTGTCTGCCCGTGAGTGAGGTGTGGGCTCATTAGAGCTTGTGGCTTGAGCTGGGAGTGCCAGACCCAGGTTTACCCTTATCTGTTGCCATGTTAATTTTTGTTATTTATATTCTGTCCTTTTTACTTTCGGTATACAAGGTCTATCACTCTATAAATTAATTAGAACTCTGTTGTGGCAGAAATCCAACCAAGACAGGGAGTTGATGACTTCTCATAACTGTAAATCAGATACAACTGGATCTAGGTGTTAACCATACCATCAGGACCTCTTGGTCCTGTTTTCCTCTGTGTTGGCTTCATTCTCAGGCAGTCTTCTCCCTAGTGATACAAAGATGACTACTGGCAGCCCTGGGCTTACCTCCTACCATCTCACGAACCCTAGTGGGAAGAACGTGTTCCTTTCTTTTCCTCCCCAGGTTTATGGAGATAATAGTTGACATATAAAATTGTGTAAGTTTAAGTTGTACCCCATGATGGTTTGATGTGTGTACATATTGTGAAATGATTACCACATTAAGGTTAGTTAACACCTCCAGAGGGTTTCTTTCTTGATAGTTCTGCAGAAGACCTGGGCCTGGGCACTTTTTGGCTCAACTTGGGTTAAGTCCACCCCATCATTGGCTCAGCTTGAGTTAGGCCCACCCTTGTCATTGGCTCAGCTTGGGTTAAGCCCACTCCTGTCATTGGCTCAGCTTGGGTTAGGCCCACCCGTCATTGGCTCAGCTTGGGTTAGGCCCACCCGTCATTGGCTCAGCTTGGGTTAGGCCCACCCGTCATTGGCTCAGCTTGGGTTAGGCCCACCCCTGCCTTTGGTTAGTTTGGATTAAGTCCACCCCTGAGCCAGTTACTGATGCTGGAAGCATGAATAGTCCTGCGCCTTCTCCCAGATGCAGAAGTTGATGTCAAGTCCATGGAATGAGTGTAGGTAATATTGGGGTGCTGTTACAGAAAGATGGAAGAAAGAATCCTGGATTGGAAAAAATCAGCAAATTAACAGCTTTCTACTCTATCAGAGCTTCTCTGCTTAGATCAAGCTTTCAGGGAAACTTCCCCAGAAGAGGGTGAGTGGGAGGGAACATGACGTTTTCTCTGAACGGAGAAAGGGAGAGAAACTAGGTACAGAAGATGTGCGTGCAGGTACTGACAAATGTAGAGTTGTGAATGAGTGCTGTGCTCGAATATAAATAGTTCAATTTCCACCAGGGGTCTAGAAGTTGGTGATAGTGTCCATGTCAACACTAACATCTTTAGCCAAGTGGTTTGTATTTTTAGCCCCAAATACAACTTGTTGGTTATGCCTTGCAAAGTGAGGGGTTGCGTCCGTTCTTTTGTCCCCAAGGACACACAGCAGACTGTGAGCCTCCTTGAAGGAAGGACAGGAACGTTGGAGACATCTCATTTGGATTCCTGATGACCTTTTGACAAGCTCAGAGCCTTAAATAAATTCAGAAAATCAGCTATCACATCGACAGGCTCTATCAGCAGAGTCTATAAATTGACAACTGTTAGTAGAATGTGTTTTCTAACCTCTGCTCTGGATGTCTCAAGGTCCTCAGAGCCAAGGTCCTGTCCCCCACTCCCTTCTAGCTACTGTCCAATTTTCTTGTCGCACCCAGTTCTCCAAAATCCTGTGGACTTCCTCTTCCTCACCTCCCCCTTACTCCTCCACTGTGATGAAACTATTCTTGCTCACGTCACCAGTGACCAACATTTCGCTAAGTCTCGTGGGTATTTTCCAGTCCTTATCTTCTCAGCTTCTGTGTTGCGTCCTGGATACTGTGGAACGTTCCCTTTTTCCCCCTTGAAACCATCTCCTCCCAGGGCAGCTCACACTTCCTGGTTCTCATCTCTCTTATTTCTCTTCTGTCTCCTTCGATTACAGTTTTCTTTCTTTGCCCACCTTTCAAATGCTAGCATTCCTCACAGTTTCATAAATAGTCCTTATTAGATTCCCCAGTGGTTCTGTCCCAAGAAAAAGGGACGAAACAGCTACAAACGCATGACCCTTAAATTTGTACCATTAGCCCAGACTTCAGCCCTGAGTTTCAGATTCTGTTTCGCGTGGAGATGTGTCACAGGCATGTCAAACTAAAAAAATGACCCAACCTGGGTTTATTATCCCTTTGCCCTAAAGACTTCTGATATTCTGCATCTCTGGTGATGGGGATGGTGGTGGCACCCAGTTGCCTAAGCTAGAAGCCCAGGAGATGTCCAGAATATAACATGCGGGTAGGTTATAGTCTGTCTGGGTTTAGTTTTAGTTTTTTTTAAATGTTTTATCATTTAATCCAACATAAAGTTCAGGAATTTTTTTTTCCCCATTAAAGTCAGCTATTTAACCAGATGTGAGTAATAATTTTAAAACCTGCTCTCCTAGACACCATGCCACAGGAGGAGTGATCTCATCCCCCGTTTTCACAATGGAGGACTCGGGCAAGACCTTCAGCTCCGAGGAGGAAGAAGCCAACTATTGGAAAGATCTGGCTATGACCTACAAGCAAAGGTCAGTTCTTCAAAGGTCACCCTGCTTTTTGTTCTCAGAATGATGGCGACGTTTATTGTTGGCGTATTATGTGACAAGCACCGTGAAAGCTTAACAGTCGTTATCTCACTGAAATCTCCAAGTGCCCCTGAAGAAATCCTTATCCCCCCATTTTACAAAATGAGGAAACTGAGCCTCAGTGAAGGCACGTAACTTGCCCGCCAAGGTCACACAGCCAGTCAGTAGCAGAGCTAGGATTTGAACCTCAAAGCTGATGGTCCTCAGCAAACTGCGACTTCCCATCTAATTTCCCCGCAGGGTTTTATTCCTTCCCGGGTGCCATAGCTGATCAGTGCTTCCTGTGTGGGGAAGAACTTCTCCCTGTGCCTAGCAAAATGGGTTGCTGCAGATTTTAAAATCTGAAACCAGAGTTTCAGTGCGTGGACGGGGAGAGGGAGAGAATGTGTGTGTTCAGCATTGCTTCTTTTATTTCTTATGGACTCTTATCTCCATGTGGAGGCCTTCTTCCAATCCCTCTAATGTCTCTGTTCTTAGTTCGACTTAAAGATAACTCGGGCTGATATTTTTTAAAATGTCCTTTGCTTTTTTTTTTTTTTTTGTTCTTCAGTCTAGTTGTGGAGGACGTTGCTTCACTGGCCCAAGTTGGCACCATCATTGTGCTCTTCCAGGGCGAGGCAGATCGGTCGCCGGCTTCTGGACGGCCGCTCACTGCGGCTGCTGGCTGCTCACGCTGGCTGCTGGCCGCTCACGCTGGCTGATGGCTGCTCACGCTGGCTGCTGGCCGCTCACGCTGGCTGCTGGCTACACACGGTAGCCCATGGCAACCCACTGCCACAGGGGCTGCAGCCTATGCCGTCGCAGGCGACTCACGGCAGCCCAGCTCCAGGTTGAGCTGTTGTTCAGCATCTTAGCTGTGGAGGGCAGTGTTCATTGGCCCTCATATGCGGGATCCGAACCGGGGCCCTCTGGCATCCCAAGCGAGTTCTTAACCATTGCGCCACTCGGCCGGCCCTCCTTTGCATTTTTAAGAATTGAGAAGCTAGTATGGGGTGTTTGGGATGGCGTAGGGACACAATATATGTATGTATTTCGTGTCATTGAGTCGTCTCTGACTCCTGGCGACCCTATGAATGAGTGTCACCTGCAGTGTCCCATCTTCACAGCCCTGCTCGGCTCCTGCAGACTCCTGCCTGGGGCTTCTTTTATGGACTCCATCCATCTTATATTCGGTCTCCCTCTTTCCCTGCTGCCTTCTCTTTTCCCAGCATTACTGTCTTTTCGAAAGAACCCTCCCTCCTCCTGCTGTGGCCAAAGTAGGACAGCTTCCGTTTTCTCATTTTTGCCTCCAGCCATGTTTCAGGCTTCATTTGCTCTTAAGGCCCACTGGTCTGTCTTTCTGGATGGAGTTCCAGGGTATCCGTAAAGCTCTCCTCCAAAATCATATTTCAGATGAGTCCATTTTTTCCCCATCAGCCTTCTTCCCTGTCCACCTTTTGCATCTGTACATAGTAACTGGGATGACGAGGGTGTGGGTGGTCTCAGCCTTAGTCTCTAATGACGCAGCTTTGTTCTTGGTGATCTTTCCTAATTCTTCCATTGCTGTCCCTCCGAGGCTCAGCCTTCTCTTGATTTCTTGGCTGCAATCTCCACTCGACTTGATGACTGCACCGAGGTAAGCAAAACCTTTAACAACTTCGGTATCTTCACTGTCTGTGTTAAGGTTGTGTATCTTCTGCAATCATGATTTTTGTCTTGACAGACCCAGTATAGGGGTGTAATAAGCGAATGTTTGTTTATAAGTAAATCTGCAGACGATGCACAGTCCAAGGTGTAGTTACTACATGTTGGGCTCAAAAACTGTATATTGAATGACTGATTGAAGAGTGAATCAGTTAAGAAATGGCTTTGGACTCCGGCACTGCTGGGATCAGGTCCAAGCTCTGTTTCTGACTTCTTGTGTGACCTTGAGACAAGTCACTTATTTTGTCTCAACTTCATCTGTAAAATGAGGATAAGGATAGTTTCTGCCTCTAAAGGTAGTTGAATAAAGAGCTGTATAAGACCCCTGTATAGCACTCAGCAGCGTGTAAATGCTCAATTATTTTCTGACATCCCGGAACTCTGCCGTAGGGCAGAGAATACACAAGAGGAGCTCCGAGAATTCCAGGAGGGAAGCCGAGAATATGAAGCCGAATTGGAGACACAGCTGCAGCAGATTGAAACCAGGAACAGGGACCTCCTGTCAGAAAATAACCGCCTTCGCATGGAGCTAGAAACCATCAAGGTGAGAGGAAACGCACGCAGGTAGCGACAGGCCTCCAGGGTGGCGTGTGTGACTGGGAGCCCTGCAGTGTGAGGGGCCGTGGCCCTGAGTGGCTGTGGTGCTTGAACTCTGTGTCCCGATGGGAGGAGCTCTGTGTGAAGCAGGTCACCCACGTGACGCCAGGGCCATTCTTGGTTTGTCTGTCATCTCATAAGGCATGTGAAAAGAGACAGTTTTAGCGTATAGAGTGTCACTAGAATGGCTGATCTTTATAGTATAAGGTCCAGGCTTATGCTGTCCAGTGTGGTAGCCTTAGCCACAAGTGGCTGTTGAAATTAATTACCATAAGATAAATTCAGCTTCTCAGTCAGACTGGCCGCACTTCCAGTGCTCAGTTGCCCGATGTCTAGCGGGCCTCACTGTTGGACAACGGGGCTGCAGAATTTTTCCATCATTGCAGAAAGTTCTGTTGGACCATGCCAGTCCAGGGCAGGCCCTTCACCTGGGCACTGTCAACATTTGAAGCCAGATGATTCTGGTGTGGGGGCTGAGTTGTACACTGTAGGATGTTTCACTGGCCCCCACCCACTAGATGCCAGCAGCACCCCCTCCCCCAGCTTGTGACAACCCATAATATCTGTAGACATTGCCAAGTATCTGAAGAACCACTGCTCTAACGGGTCAACCTGCCTTTGGACATTCTGTTGGGCTCAGCAGATGCTCACTCAGTATAACTGTGCCCCACAGACTGGCTCTCAGCCCTCGCCGCCAGGAAGGTCCCCTGGTCAGCTTCGTAAACATCAGACAGGCCCAGACCCAGCCCCGCCCCAGATTCCTATTCTCAGTAAGTCTGGGTGGGGCCCCGGCATGTTTGCATATCTTTATTTATTTTTTTTAATAAAGCTCCCCATGTAAATTTTGATGAGCTGCTGCGGGAAAGAGCCAAGGTCCTGCAGTGTGTGCCCGGGGATAACACGTGATGGAAGGAGACGTGCCCCTTGCCTCCCCTGGAAACTTCGTGGGCTAGACAAACCTAACACCAGGAAGCATTAGGGAAAGGATGCTGTTACATAGTACTGACGGTGAGATCCTCCTGAGAGAGAGAAAGACCTGCATGGGGTGAAGACAGTGCCCTCCAGGCGCTGGGAGGGACATGGGCTGGTGCTGGGAGGTGAGGGGTGTGTGTGGTCAGCATCTTGGTGCGCAGGGCTTGACCAAGAGTTAATGTGGACCTGCCATCAATACAGACAAGAAAGAGTGTCAAGTGAACCTTGGGAGTCTTGGCTTTACTGGCACGTGGGGAAAAGTGGGGCCAACACATGGACTGGGGATTGAGGGGTGGGGGGGGAGGGGTGGGGCAAAGGAAAGACCGCGAAGTCCTTGGAAGCGGAGCGGTGGAGCGCAGGCTTTTCTGTTGTAGACCACAGAGCCCAGAGCGGCCGTCACAGGTCAGTCTGGCCCATCGATGCTGTTTGCTTAGCCTTTGGTGGTTTTTAGTCAACATTTGATCATGAAAGTTTTCAAGCGCACAGCAAGATTGAAAGAATTTTCCAGTGAACACCTGTATGTCCACCACCCAGGCTCTGCCAATAACCTTTGCCCGACTGGCTTTTTATCACGTATCTATCCCTCCATCAATCTGTCTTAACATTGTGGTGCATTTCAAGGTGAACTGCAGACATCTATACACTTCCCCGTAAATACCTCAGCGTGCTGTTAGTAACTAGAGTTGAGGGTTTCTGTACAGTTTATTCTTTTGATAGCGAAGTTTATATCTTTAGCGTTTTTAAAATATTTAATGTCAATATTGGAAGTTGTGAGGCGGTAAAAATCTGGATTTCCGACTTCCTTTGAGAACTGGCAGCCCCGGTCACAGCAGGCCTGCGTTCTTCCACACCAGCAGAAAACTGAGTAGTGGTTGCTCAGAGCAGGCGCTCTCCAGTTTGCCCCCGTCCCAACTACTGCCCGCCATCTCTGACACTGAGGATAAGTGTCATTTGCTTTATCCCTAAACCTGGCCCACTTTTGTTAACAGCTTGGCCCCTGCAGACATTAGTATCTGGCCCCTGCCATTGGCACCGAGGAACTGTCATTATAGCTCTTAAATAGAAGGGGACTCGGGGATGGGAAGCTATGTGGAAGGAAGATCATTGGTATGGACGATACTTTGGAGAGCGAAAGACGCCCACGTGGATGGTGAATAAATACCAAGCAATTAGTAATTAACTGCTTCAAGACTGAGCCCTTGAACCTGCAAAAGAACTTCATTACAACCCCATTACATTCATGTGAGACAGCATAGAGCAAGGGAAGAAATAGAAATACTCCGCAATAAAGAAGTGCCACCAGCCCATGCTTGTCACCTAAGAGAAATGTATTCAACTGAGTCAGACTTCTTGACAACTGGCTTATTCATTGCCAGCTGAATAAAAAAAAGCCTGTATGGGATCAAACAGAGCGTCTATTGATGCCTCCATCAGCTGACAGCTTATTATAATTAGCCCCAAATGGAAGCGTAACATTTCAGCAACCGCTTTTCATGTCCACGAGTTCAAAGGACATCATTTGGATCTTGATGCTGGCAGAGAAGTCCTCAACTGCATCCTCTTAGAAACTGCATTTGAATTTAGGTTAATGACCTAGGATCCTGTAATGTCCTGTTCTGTCCGGAGATGCACCCACCTGAAGGTTGTGAGGTCATCAGAGCCACGCCTGGGGAATCACTGTGCAGGGGGCCTGGTCTGAGTGGAGACGCGTCCCCTGCTCACAGCCAGGAAACAGGATTGGAGGGGACTGGGCAGCCCGAGGATGTGGGATGCCCTCCCAGTCCTCACCCTGTAAATAATCTGCCTGTTCCGTGGATGTGCCTCTTCACAGTGGCTCCCCAGCCTCGGGCCTACACACCATTACGTCATTCTCCCCAGTGCACCCAGCCTGCTCCTAGCAACAGCTTTGTTTACTCGATGGAGCAGAGCGAAGAAAGGAGTTCATCTGTTTTTTAACTTTCTGATTAGACCCTTGGCCTTTCCTGTGGGAAGTGAGTGTTTTTTTTCATGTGTGTAGATAAAGGAAAGGTAGTGAGGGTGCTTGGTGAAGCAAAGGAGTTTGAAAGAGGAGCGGGAGCATAATTGTGTGTTGTGTTGTGTGTAAGAGAGAGAGAGAGGGAGAGAGAGAAAGAAAAACACCTACATGACCTGGATTGAAACGGTCGAGGGCAGTTTAGCATCATTGTTTTAAGAGCTTGTGTCCAGGTGGCCTGGGTTGGATCTTGGCTCAGTCATTTGCTGCCAGTTGACTTTGGGCTAATTGAGTAACTGAGCCTCAGTCCCCACATCTCTGAAGTGGCATTAAATGAGGCAGTGTCAGTAGCGCACTGAGCAGAGGCTGGCACAGAGCATGCATGATAAACGTTAGCCGCTGCAATTGTCAACAGAGATCGAGAAGTCATCTGGGCTACTCCTTGCCTTGGAAAGCACTAGCCAGACCACACTAAGCTTCCTTTCGTAATTCATAACAGGTTCCCCCCCGCCCTTTGTCCCTTTCCTTCCTTCCTTCCCTCCCCCAGAGGCCCAGAAGTTCGTTCTAGCTTCCCCATGCATCAGGGGAGTATCCTGGATCACAAGGTCAGAGCTGGTGACAAACTAAGCACACAGCGTCCTGCTCTTGTTGTGAGGCACACGCAGCCAAAGCCATTGTGATTCCCGATGTCCTCTTTGTAACCCAGGGATGTCCTGTGACGCGGAGTCGTATTGCCGCCACGATGAGGCGTGGAGAGAGGCTTATGTGGCTTTGTTTGGCTGTGGACTCCTTGAGCAACGTGATTGCTTTGAAGATAGCTGGGGGCTTTTTGACACCCAGAGGCTGCAAGGACAGATTTGGGAGGAGGCAAGGTACAGGATGCTTAGGGGCTGGGAGACAGGAAGCGCCCTGGACAGGACAGATCCCTGTTCCTGCCCCCCGTCACTTGCTTAAGCGTCCACATCTGTGGTGTGTGTCAGGAGGCTGGGAGGAACCTCAGCAACTGGGATGGGAGGACTGGTCCCACAAAGACCCTATAATAGCAGGTACAAATCCCGTAAGGAAACCAGGGTGCTGGTGGGCTGTGGGGAATGGACCCTCAGTGGCTAAAAAGAGCAGGTGTCCACTACAGCAGGACAGTGTACGTTTTAGGTCTAATCTGCAGTGTTTTAAGGAGATGACAGGGGAGGGACAGATAAACATGGCTTCTCAGAAGCCTTACATCGGTCACTCACTGTCCATTTTGTCCTTCAGGAAAAGTTTGAGACACAGCATTCAGAAGGCTACCGGCAGATCTCTGCCTTGGAGGATGACCTTGCCCAGACAAAGGCAATCAAAGATCAGCTGCAGAAATACATCCGAGAGCTGGAGCAAGCAAACGATGACTTGGAAAGAGCAAAACGGTATGTCGGGGAGGACAAAACAGGCCCTGGCACCTGTCGTCTCTGCTTTTTGCCCCCAGCGCCTGGGTCCCGGGCACTGTGTTGAGTTGAGAGAATTCAGCAGCGAGCAAAACCAAGCCAGCGCCCTTAGGGATCTTACGTTCTCACAGGAAATGGCCGACAGGCGAATAAGCACAATTTAATGACGAGCAGTACATGCTGCACGTCCAGGGTGCTGTGGGGCGTGTGACAGGATAGCTTGATTGGGCCATTGGTGGGAGAGCGTCAGGCAAGGCTTCCCAAAGGAATGCCATGTAGGCTGAGATTAAGGGGTACATAGGGACTATCCGGAGGGACCGAGGGAGGGGAGAACATTCCAGGCAGAAGGACAAGCGTGTGCTAAATAAAACGGCCCTCAGGTAAGAAGGAAAGAAGCGTGTTTGTTCAAAGAACAGGATTTCTTAAACTGATATTCTGCTATTTAGTGGAATCCTCACAGTAGCAAGTAGTGTTTATTGAATAGCTAGTCTGAACCAGCCAGGCTTTTTTTTTTTTTTTTCTTCAATTTAGAAAACACTTGTTAAAATTTAGATACAGCACACCCAGCTTTATTTGTGAAACGAGGAAATAAAAGCTTACTTCCCAGAAGAAAGTTTAGGTATAAATGACATACAGTGACATGCATATATTCCTGTGACCCTCACTCCTGTTGAAGACGTGGGACCTTTGCGTTGCCCCCACTGTTCCTTGCGTTATTTTTTCAGTGGTTTCTTGAGGGCTCACATTATATATGCTGAACTTTTCATTCCACTTGGTTGATATTATACTTAGTTAATATTGTAACATTCGTGTGAAATATCACAGCTTTGCAACCTTATCACTTCCCTTCCTCAGACTCGATGCTGGAGCCGTAATAGCTGTATTATTACATCTACGCGTGCTGTGGATTCCACAACGCGTTGCTTTAATTTTTGCTTTCAAAAGCCAAGTGTATCTGAAATCAAGAGAGTGAAAAGATCGCCTGTTGTAGCCTTTTATGCCCCCCCATATGGACCGTGTCTGGCCCATTCCTTCCTGAGGACCTGGGCTGCCCTCTGGTATCACTTCCCTTCAGCTTCCCAGCTTCCCGTAGGGTTCTTGTGGCGCACGTCTGCTGGCAACGAACTCTCCGAGTTTTGGGTTATCTGAACGTGTGTTTCATTTGCCTTCATTTAAAAAAAAAAATTTCTTTTAAATACTTTTTTTTTTTAGCAGTTTTAAATTCAGAGCGAAATAAAGACGATCGCATAGAGCGTGTCTGTCTGTATATCCCCTGTTCCCACACATGCGCTCACGTCCCACCACCAACATCCTGTGCTACGGGGGTACATTCGGTACAATCCATGAACCCATGTTGACGTCATTGTCACCTAATATCCACAGTTTACATCAGGGTTCACTCTTGATGGTGTTCATTCTGTGGGTTTGGACACATGAATAATGGCATGTACCTGCTATTAGGAGTATCACACAGCCTAGTTTCATGGCCCTGAAAATCCTGTGCTCTGCCTAGTCACCCTTCCCTCCCTCAACGCCTCTTAACCACTAATCTTTTTACTGTCTCCACAGTTTTGCCTTTTCCAGAATGTTATATAGTTGGAATCATACTGTATGTAGCCTTTTCGTATTGGCTTCTTTCATTTAGTAACATGCATTTAAGATTCTTCAATGCCTTTTCATGACTCTTTAGAGCTGAGTAATATTCCACTGTATATATGTACCATGTCTTTATCCATCTATTGATGGACACTTCGGTTGCTTCCGTATCTTGGCTGTTGTGAATAATGCGGCAGTGAACATAGGGGTGCATATATCTTTTTGAATTAGTGTCTTGAATTTCTTTGGATAAATACCAGAAGTGGAATTGCTGGGTCATATGGTAGTTGTATTTTTAATTTTTTGAGGAACCTCCATACTGATTTCCATAGTGGCTGCACCAATCTGCAATCCCACCAACAGTGCACGAGGGTTCCCTTTTCTCCACATGCTCGCCAACACTTGTTGTTAGTTGACTTATTGATGATAGTCATTCTGACAGGAGTGAGGTGGTACCTCATTGTGGTTTTCATTTGCATTTCTCTGATGATTAGTGACATTGAGCATATTTTCATATGTCTGTTGACCATCTCTATGTCTTCTTTGGAAAAATGCCTGTTCAGGTCTTCTGCTCATTTTATAATTAGATTGTTTCCTTTTTTTGGTGTTAAGTTGTGTGAGTTCCTTATATTTTTTGGATATGAACCCCTAATTGAATATATCATTGATGAATATCTTCTCCCATTCAGTGGGGTTTTTGTTTTGTTTTGTTGATGGTTTCCTTCGCTGTGGAAAAACTTTTTAGTTTTATGTAGTCCCATTTGTTTTTTCTTTTGTTTCCTTTGTCCGAGGAGCTATAGCCAAAAAATATTAGTAAGAGCAATGTCAGACAGTTTACTGCCTGTGTTTTCTTCTAGAAGTTTTATGGCTTCAGGTCTTACATGTAAGTCTAATCCATTTTTTTTTTAATTGGGGAATTGGGGGGAAGGGAACAGTGCTGGGGAATTGGGGGAAGGGGAACAGACAAGTTGCTGTCGTTTTGTTCTTCAGTCTAGTTGTGGAGGACGTTGCTTCACTGGCCCAAGTTGGCACCATCATTGTGCTCTTCCCGGGCGAGGCTTATCATCAGTCGCCGGCTTCTGGACGGCCGCTCACTGCGGCTGCTGGCCGCTCATACTGGCTGCTGGCTACACACGGTAGCCCATGGCAACCCACTGCCACAGGGGCTGCAGCCTACGCTGTTGCCGGTGACTCACGGCAGCCCAGCTCCAGGTTGAGCTGTTGTTCAGCATCTTAGCTGTAGAGGGCAGTGTCACTGGCCCTCATATGTGGGATCCGAACCGGGGCCTTCTGGCGTCCCAAGCCAGCTCTTAACCAATGCGCCACTTGGCCAGCCCTCTTTAATCCATTTTGAGTTTATTCTTTTATATATATTGTATAAGAAAGTGATCCAGTTTCATTCTTTTGCATTTATCTGTTCAGTTTTTCTAACACCATTTATTGATTAGACTGTCTTTACCCCATTGTATATTATCGCCTTCTTTGTCATAGATTAACTGACCATATAGACGTGGGTTTATTCTGGGCTCTCTGTTCTGTTCCATTGATCTGTGTGTCTGTTTTTATGCCGGTACCATGCTGTTTTGATGAATCTAGCCTTGTAGTACAGTTGGGTGTCAAGTAGCATGAGACCTCCAACTTGGTTCTTCTTTCTCAAGATTGCTGTGGTTATTCGGGGCCTTTTGTGGTTGCATACAAATTTTAGGATTATTTGTTGTAGCTCTGTGGAAAAATGCCATTGGTATTTTGATGGAGATTACATTGAATCTGTAGATTGCTTTGAGTAGTGTGGACATTTTAACAAGGTTAACCCTTCTTTCCATGAGCACAGTATATCCTTCCATTTATTTGTTTCTTCAACATCTTACAGTTTTCCAAGTACAGATCTTTTACCTCCTTGGTCTCCCACAGCCCCTTGATTTGTTGGTCGTAGTCTCGGATGGTTTTTACAACCAGAAGTTGTGACACTGGTTCCCTGGCTGGGGAGCCCAGTGTGGGGCTGGGACCTTCTGCAGCCAAGATATCCCTCCCAATTCTTAACTGCCACCCATGGGTGTGGGACCAGCCCTTTCCACATCTCCCTCCTCCTGCCAGTATTGATGTGGCTGCTTCTGTATGTTCTTAGTTATAGGACTCCTGTTCAGCTAGACTTCAGGTGGTTCCAAGGGTGGTGGTTTTATACTTGAGTTGTACTTTGATGTGGCTGTGGGAGGGGGCGAGCACAGCGATGACCTGTTCTGCCCTCTTGACCAGATAGTCCTTGCCTTCATTCTTGAAAGATAGTTTCACCAGATGTAGAATTCTAGGTTCACACGTGTCCTTTTTCTTACTTACCTCCCTTCCTCCCTCCCTCTTTCGGTTCCCACTGTCTTGTAGTCTCCTTGCTGTGGATCAGAAGTTAGTGGTCATTTGGATAGTCACGCCCCTGTATGTAATGTGTTGTTTTTCTCTGCCTGCTCTCAGATTATAAAGTGCCTTGATTTTCATATGTATTGATCCTGAGTGGGGTTTTGCTGGGCTTTTTTATTCTGTGAATTTGTCTTTTGCCAAATTTAACTTTGGTTATTATTTCCTCTAAGATTTTTGCTGCCCTATTATTTCTCTCCTGCCCTTTGGGACACGAAACAACACACCTCAGTTCTTTTGATATCGTCAGACAGCTTCCTGAGGCTTTGTGCGTTTCTTTCCTAATATTTTTTTCTCCTTGTTTGTCAAATTGGATCATTTCTATTGATCTAGTTTCAGGTTCACTGATTCCCTTCTTCTCTCTTATCCAACCTGTTAAGCCAGTTCCAATAATGTTTTATTCTAGATAGTTTATGTGCAGTTTTAGAATTTCATTTCTTTTTAGTAATTTCTGTTCCTCCATTGAGCTTTCTTTACGTCTTTGAGCATAGTTATAAGAGCTACTTTATAATTATTTTCTGCTAATCTCAACATCTGGGTTATCTTAGGGTTGATTTCTAGTGATTGCCTTTTCTCTTGAGTTTGGGTCAGTTTTTCCTTTTTCTTTATGTGTTTGGTAATTGTAGACTCTATTCTGGACATAATGATGTGTTACAGAAACTATGGATTCTCTTATGTTGTTGAATATTTTGTTTGTTAACTAAGCGAACTCACACTCTAAACTGTCTCCCCTTGATGGGCAGTAGCCGAAATCTGTTTCTTTTTGCCTTAACTGGGCTGCTTCAAGTCAGCCATTGCACATGCATGGTTCAGGAGTCAGCCAGAGTTGTGGGAAGAGTTTACACACAGAATTTCTTACTACACACACCCCCCCACCCACGCCACTGGTGGTACATTTCTACTACTGGAGCTATAGGCAAAAAGCTTACAAAGATGCAAAACTCACCCACTCCTGTTCATGTCCTCCCAGTGTTGGCTTCCTTTCAGCTTTTTTTTTTTTTTTAAACTTTATTGGGGAACAGTGTGTTTTTCCCAGGACCCATCAGCTCCAAGTCAAGTCGTTGTCTTCAATCTAGCTGTGGAGGACACAGCTCACTGGCCCATGTGGGAACAGAACCAGCAACCCTGTTGCTCAGAGCACACTCTCTAACCAACTGAGCCACCCGGCCACCCCACCAACTTTTGACAGTGCCTTTAGATCATTGTTTTTCATGTTTTACCCAGAGTTTGTAGTTGTATTTTATAGGTTTGGTCTGATACAAGTTAAATTATTACCTGAAGTGGAACCTCCTTTCTTGTCAGTTTGTAAGATCTCTTTGTATATTTTTGCTATTAATCATTGTCCTGCATTGAAAATACATTTTACAGAATATTCTATTGATTTTGTGTATGGTATCATTTTTCATACAAATATTTGCACTTTTAGGTCATCAATTAGGTCTCCTTTTATAGCCGCTAGGTTTTCAGACTTCACTAAGGAACTCTCCTTTGTCCTTTGGTTATGCACATATTCTCTTAATTTTTTTGGAAGAGATTTTTCATTATGTTATACTTACTTAATGCCTTTAATCCACCTGGAATTTATTTTTGTATCTAATATAAGATATGGGTTCACATTTTTTCATTAGGTAGACAGCCAGTTGTGTCAGTACTACTTATTAAATGGGCTATCTTTTTTGTAATTGAGGTAAATTTGATATATATGTTTCAGATGTATAATATTATAATTTGACATCCATGTACAAAGTGATTACCACTAAAAGTATAGTTACCGTCCTTCACCATACAATTGACACCCTTCTCTCAATTCACCCTCAACCCTTTTTCCCTCTGGTGACCACCAATCTCTTCCCTGTACCTATGAGTTTGCTTTTGTTTTGTTTGCTTATTTTGTTTTGTTTTAGATTCCACATATGAGTGAAACCATACGTTAGTTGTCTTTCTCCACCTGACTAATTTCATTTAGCATAGTTGTGGAGGGCACAGCCCAGCTCCAAGTCCAGTTGCCATTTTCACTCCAGTTGTGGCGGGCACAGCCCGCCATCCCATACGGGAATCGAACCGGCAACCTTCTTACCAACTGAGCCATTCGGCCGCCCACCGGCAGCTCAGCAGCAGCTCAGCTCAAGTCGTTGTCTTCAGTCTAGTTGCAGAGGCACTGGCCCATGTGGGAATCAGACCAGCAACCTGGCATTTTGAACTTTTTACAGCAACTGAGAGATTGAAGATGGTCTCTCTTCTGCGTGGTTAAATGCGTGGTATTATATTGTGTATGCATTTTAGTAGGATATGCTGAATATGGTTTGCATGGTACGTCGTCACCAAAAGACGGAGCTCGTGGCAATCGGCTGGGCCCTGTCTGTGGTCCCACGAAGGCCTTGGCTGACTGCTAAGTGCTGTGTGGACATTACCTCTTTGAATCCTCAGGGCAGCCTTGTGCACCTCACGACCTAAGACACTTCCCCTTGGGCAGGTGATGAGCCTGGGTCCCAGGAGGCCACGGGGCTTGCTCAGGTCTGAGGTGTCAGGAAGTGTCACGCCCTTATGTATCTATCTGTCCCTCTCGTCTCCCAGGTGGGTAGGCCCCAGATGACGTCACTGATTGCCTTCTTGGACAGCTTTGCTTTTCTCTTCCCCAGGGCCACAATCATGTCTCTGGAAGACTTCGAGCAGCGCTTAAATCAAGCCATTGAGAGAAACGCCTTCCTGGAGAGTGAGCTGGACGAGAAGGAAAATCTCCTAGAATCTGTTCAGCGTCTGAAGGATGAAGCCAGAGGTCAGGAGGCTCGGGCTTTGTTCCGTGTGTCTGCACCAGCATTGTCCCCTCTCGGCACCTGAAAACACTGCCTGCCGTTACCTTTGCCGAAAATGTGCACCCTACTTGGCGTACAGGCTGTGGGACCACACCGGGCAGGCTCTGGCCTTGGTCCCCACCCCGCGCTAAGAACTGTCAGATGTCCAACCCGGAAAGACCCCTTGTGGGTATTTAAACCCATAACTGGCTTTATGCTCAGAAGCAGCGCAAGACTTTAATGGGGAGAAAATCCCTGTTGATGGAGTTGCCAGCTAGCCTACTATTTTGGGGACTTGATGGCAGCTGATACATGTGGCTTAGAACTCTGAAACCGCATCAGCATTTGCTGAGGAAGTTGTTCCTACATGCCCATCAGTGAGGAAGTAGTTAAATAAATTACGTAGATTTATTTTGTGGAATATTAAACAGTTGTTAAAATGAAGAAGGCACAAGTATAAAAGCGGTTGTAGAGTTTTGTTGGGAGAGCATATTTTCACTTAGTATGCTACACACCTTATCACATTGGAATGTTGTTGAAACAATAAAAGCATTAGGGTAGCACTGCCATAGTTTAAAAAGATTTTTTTAAACCTTTTCGTTTTTACTTATAAATCCTGTTGTTTTACAAGCCTGCCAGGCAAGGGTTTCACTTCCTTCAGGTTTTCTACCTCGAGTTTCTCGCCCTGCTAGTTCTTTTCCTTGATCAGGTGTCTACTGCTGACACCCCGCCCCCTTCCCCTCCCCCCAATCACCCAAAGCAAGGACTTAATCGGAATCCTTTTCCTGGCCCAGATTTGCGGCAGGAATTGGCTGTGCAGCAAAAGCAGGAGAAACCCAGGACCCCCATGCCCAGCACGGCGGAAGCTGAAAGGACAGACACAGCGGTGCAGGCCACTGGCTCCGTGCCGTCCACTCCCGTGGCTCATCGGGGCCCGAGCTCGAGCTACACCGCATCGGGGGTGTTCAGACGTGGTAAGGGGAGCGGGAGTCAGGAGGACTGGTCTTTGCGTCACAGAGCTGCCCTGGTGAGAACCTGGTGTGGGTCCTGGGTGAGAGAGAAATTGGAGCAGGCTGGTCAGCAGGGCGCAGAGCATCAAGGTGAATGGGGAGAGCCCCCTGGGTGTGAGGCATTAGGGAGCCGTGGAGTCTGTGGTGCTCAGGGAGATGGAAACCCCATCTCGAGGGGGGCTCTGCTCCTATTACAAGAGATGTGGGCCCGGCATTTGCAGACATTTCTGTTCTTCACCAGGAGCCAGAAATTCTCTTATTCAATAGGAATAAAACAATTTAAAAAGCATTTTGTGGGTTCAGCAATATATCCCCTCTATAACACAAGCCAGTGTAACCTGGGCAGTGTGGTAGAAAATGAGAAATTGAAGCTTTCACTCTAGCCCCTCTGCTGACTGATTAACTCTGAGACTGTCATCTGGCTACTTAACGGCAAATAATAATAGACAATTATCACGTGCTCAGTATTTGCCAATCACTCTGCTTCAAGTGCTTTGCATACCTTATATGACCTCATTGAATTGTCACCACAGGCCCAAGATACAAGCAGTGCAGGTGCTGTCCCCATTTGATGGATGAGAAGACTGAGGCCCCGAGTTGAAGAGCTTGTCAGCCAGCTGGTGAAAGCCAGAACTGGGATCCAATCCAAGCCCAGGCAGGCTGGCTCCAGGGCTTACACTCCCATATACTGTCTTAACCCTTAGTTGGTCCCCTGGGGTGAAGACTGGTGAGATTTCCAGAACCCCAGTCTAGAGTAGTATTGTCCACACTTGAACTGGCACACGACTTGGCTGGGCACCTTGGAAAACTGCACCTGGGCTTCAGCCCAGGGTCTGGGCGGGGCCAGTGATCCTGCATTTCTAACAGGCACCCAAGTGACACTGGCGCTGCTGAGCCCTGGGCCCGGCTTTGAGGAGAGAGGTTCTGTAGAGGAGTTGGCTCAGATGCTGTTCATGTCAATTAACTATATGGACTTCATAGGAATTTCAAGAGGGCTTGTGTTGATTTTGTTGTAAAAGAATGACATGTAAAGGTAAATATGTAATGTAGTCAGTGTAAGGCTGTGAAAGGTTGGTCATCAAATGGACTCTACCTGGCAGCGTTAGAATTCGAGGAGAGCGAAAGGAAGCGTTTGTTTCTCTCGCCCGCCCCTGGGGGCTCGCGTTTAGCGACGATCGTGCACTTATGACCGTGGGTTGGTGTTACATGTGTACCTTTTGCACACCCAGGTCTGGATGACTCGGTGGGTGGGACCCCCCTAACGCCTGCAGCCCGGATATCGGCCCTCAACATCGTGGGAGACCTGCTCCGGAAAGTGGGGGTAAGACTGGTGCCTCCCTGGGGCTCAGGGTGGCTTCTTGTGTGTCCTTGAGGATATTTGCAAAGGATGACTTTCCCAGCTCCTTTTCCCTTTAACAGACTCCAGCTTTAGGGGCAGCTCTGGGCCTGTCGGGTTCCTTAGCCTCTTTGGAGCTTTTGTGGGCGTTGTTACAATAAACACCTAGAGCCTGGCTCAAAGGTCCCCCTTTGATCCCTGGGTACATCTTTCCCGGTACCGTTTTTCCGTTTTTCCTTGGAATTTGGGTAATTCAGATGGTGTCTATGGTTTTTTTTTGGGGGTGGGGGTGGGGTTTCCCTCTCTTAATTTGAAAAAACTGAGAAACATTTGAAAGTTGCCTACTCTCTTTTATTTCTCAGGGAGTTACAGAGAAAAATCGTGATGGGCTAGGGTTAGGAATTTGACGGGGTTTATATTAATTCCAGGATTCTTTTGTGCTTAAGAAATAGTATAGCTGCAACTTAATAGGAGTTTGCAAGTCATTTCTTCCGTTTTTACTTTGGGCTTTTGGTAGTTTTGTTTCTGTTATATAAATAGGCCTCTGTTTTATACTTTGCACAGAGGATAGAGAAGCCCGGAGCGGTCTCAGCGCCCTTCGGTTTTTACGGAATCCATTTACATCAAGGCCAAGTCCTTGTTCAAACCTCCCGCCTCTCTCTGTGCATGTTTAACAAGGTAAACAAAAGAGTGAATGATCCCCAAAGCTGATTTCATATTTCTCATAGGTAGAGTTGGCTGGTTGGCAGGGTGAGTGATTTTCTAGGAAGCAGCCTACCTAATACCTTAGGCCAAAGGGCCTAAGAGTGGAATGCACTGGATTCTCTTGGGGCCTCGCTTTGGGGTCCCAAGCACAACACTTTGAGAACCACTGTTTTAGCTTATTATCTGCATCCAGGCTCCGGTGAGAGATAAGAGTTCTTGGTTTTAACTTGAGAGATGAAAGCACATTTCTCTCCAGGCGTTGGAGTCCAAGCTTGCATCCTGCCGGAACTTCGTGTACGAGCAGTCGCCAAACCGAACAAGTGGCCCGACCTCAGGGCGGGGGAGCAAGAACAGAGATGGCGGCGACAGACGGCCAAGCAGCACCAGCGTGCCTCTGGGCGATAAAGGGTCAGTGCCTTTTCTGTCACTCCAGGTGGGAGCCTCTCAACCCTGACCGAGAGCCATTTTTGAAAAGCTGCAGGATTATGTCAGTGAACTTGATCCTTCACCCCCATCCCTTGAGACAGAGTTAGGTGGTGACTTCTGTTTGGGCAAACAGCCAAGGAGAGGCTTGTGTTTTTTATCTGATTCTGTAGCCCCAGCTCCTGGTTATGCTGTGAGAGTCTCCTGTAAAAATCACTTGCTTGGGACGTGAGCTTCCAACACTGCTTCCCTGAGAAGAGGATTTATTTTTTTTTATTTTTTTTTTAATCATTAGAACCTTCAAAAAAACTGGCACTAAATTCCAGCCAGACTAGATTCCTAAAGCCAGTCACCGGATTGGAAAGCACATATATGACCTCTAATGGCTTCATTTATTTTCTAGCCAGGAGAAAATGAAGGCAGCTTCCACATACAGTAATTTTTAAAATACGTGCCGCCATCTTACTGGACACCAAGCCACATAAATGTGGTGGGTCCGTAGCAGACAGATGACCAGAAATGAAGAATTGTTTTGCATGGCACACACATAACTTCCTGGCCTTTTGAAGGGGGTGTTTTTAGAGGGTCTTCTGCGACTAGGCTTTTTATGTGGTCTTGGGAATGTCAGAGCTAGACAGCCAGTGTCCTTTCCTTCATTTCACAGGCGAGAAAGTTGAAACCCACTGAGACTGCTGATACTCTTATAACTTTGTGGGCCCCAATGCTAGTCGATCTGTAACAGCTGTACTGTCCGCTTAATTTGGTTTACTCTGTCTGAAGGTCAGGAAAACGCCTGGAATTTGGGAAGCCGCCTTCAAATCTGTCCTCACCATCGCTGCCGTCAGCCCAGGGTGTAGTCAAGATGTTGCTTTAGGAAACCCACAGAAGCGAAGCCACTGATGTCTGTGCAGGAGTTCTTTACCTTTTTCCCCGTCTTTACATGAGCTTTTTTGTTTTAAGTTAGTCTGAATAATATGAACAAGCACTCACACTGGCCAATGATGGAGGCCATGGCCCTTGGCCCCTGCTGGCTGACCCTGTGAAATGTCTCATAATCCATGTTGCAAGTGGACAAGAACAAACTTGACCCCCTGGAAAGGGCTCTATGGTGTGGGTGCTGAGGCTGCCCTGTCATTTGGAGCTGACCCAAGGCCTGATTGGTCTTGAGAGGTGGTTTTAATGTCCAGAGACACCTTACAAGTGGGATCCGACTTGGGCTCACCCATGCCCCACTCAGCTGGAGCTGTCTTCCAAAACAAAGTCTCGCAACACTCTGGCACAGCAAGGATGGCCGCATGGAAATCATGTCTAGGAGCAAAGAATAGCGTAGTCTTGTGCCTTTTTTTTTAAAACTGTGGGGTCGTGTACCTTCCCATGGTTTTTAATCTGCCTCTCATTGAGGCTTTTAGAGGTGTGCTTGAGTTTCAGAGGAAATTTTGTGTGGACCAGGTCAGTGGGAAATCTGTCTTCTTTAGGTCTATCCCGACTGTTAGCGATCCTGAACCCCCCACCCCTGGCATGGGGGTGGCCTCCACTTCAGGACCCCGAGGGTCCTTGGGGTGGAGTGGCCTGGAAATGAAGCTTTTAAGAACAGGACTTCTTCAAGACCATAATGAAAGAACCAAATAAGGTTAAATCGCCAGGATCGTTTGAAGCTTCCTTGTCAAGGAAGAAATGAACACAGGATGCCTGGCATGGACGGTGCACTGCTTCTCTGCTTGCTGTGAACTGCTGTCTCACGCTTTCAGTCACAAGTAAAAAGAACCCAGGAATTCAGGAGCATGTGTGCAGCTTAACGACCTTCCTTTTGTTATTAAGTTATTTTTCCAAAAGAATGGCAAAATATCCTTGATTTTGAAAACTGAACTTTTCAAGTGCTACTGAAATTCAACAGAGAATCAAACATCAGTGCCCGGTTGGTTATCCTACAAACATTCTAACCTATATCGGTAAAAGATGTACTTATATTTTTTTAAAAGAACAATAAAATCAAGAGAAACTAATTTCCAACTTGTTTGTGGTGGTGATCAGTGAATGCTGCTTCATTTGTGGTTCTGTGTTTGCGCGTATGATGGTGGAAAAATTGTTTGTTTGTTTTTTAACCAAGTAACTAAACATGAAAAAACCTACTTTTTAAATATTTCCTTCCAACCAGCTCCTTAGAACTGTATTTGGGATACGTTTGTGTGTTGTTCAGGGTGTATTAAGGTGAAGGAACCGCTGTCTAGAACACTTGAGCTGAGGAAGGAAAGGGCCACGGCTTGGTTTTGTACGGCCCTTATGCTAAGAATGGTTTTTGTGGGGTTTTTTGTGTGTTTTAAAGGGCGGTTTCAGAGAATAAAAACGATGAATCTGTGACAGGGACCACGTGTGCACTAAAATATTAACTTCCTGGCCTTCACAGGAAAAAGTTTGTTAGATTCCTGCTGGGCGACATCTTCTGTGATAACTTAAAAATTCAAGGAAATGTTGTATTGTTTGCATCCTATACATACTGGTTTTTTACTGATAAACATGTTCTTGTCATATTCATCCTCCCCAACCTAGAGCTGCCCACCTCCTGGTTGGACAGACCTCTCACACAGACTCACTTTGCATCTCTGTTCTTTTTTTGTCAGGTGGGAGCTTGGGCAATTAATATGTTCCACCTCCCTAGGCCTCAGTTTCCCCGTTTGTGAAAAACCCTGACTTCACAGGGTTGTTGTGAGGATCCAGCGAGAGCGTACCCCCATTCTGTGTCCGCTCTGTAGACAACAACAGAACAGCCAAGTACGTTCTCGTGACTTAACAACCTTTTATTAGTGAGGGTGTCCTTAAGTACAGTCGGGGTGCATATAAAACAGTGTGACGTTCCTGCTCTTAGCCGTTCGAGCAGTGTCTCCTTTTTAATTCAGGTGACTACAGAAGGCACTTGGTCTCGGTGAACTGTGTGCATCTGAGGTGTGGTAACCAGGACCGGGAAAGAATTCTCAAACAAGGACCTATCAATGGCATCAGAAGGGTACACAGGTCAGGGAATGGCTTGGGAGTGGGGGGACGGGGGACGTGGCACCCATTTTGGTGGCTTTCTCCCCATTTTATGTAAACTAAGTTGCCAGTGATTAAGTTACCGTGGATATATTTTTCTAAAAACTCAACATCTCTGCACAAAATTCATTGATAAGAGGGGGCGTGGGTGTGTCTGTGTCTCCTGTCGGGTTTGTTTCATCGGGCACATCATTCAACACTTTAATTGATACCCTGGCCCCAGGGTGGTGGTTTTCATCTCCATGGTGAGGGGTGTTTGTGATGTTTGGCATCTGACAATGGGTTTAGACAGTGCTAAGCAGAGTCCACTGGGTGTTTTGTTCTGTTTTCAGCAAGTTGTCTATTCACTGGCTTTGGTTCCGTTGAAGTCTGCATCGCGAGCATCCATTTCCTCATCAGAAGCGTCCGCATTTTCAATAACTCTACGTCCTCCAGATCTTCTGGAGGGAACAAAAGAGGTGTCGTTTCCTCGCCTGTGGGTTTTAAGAAAACACACGTTTCTTTAGTCCAGAAACTTCCCTCAAGGTTGGAAGAGATTTTTTTTTTTTTCTTTTTAGAAGGAGCAAAAAACACAAACTCAAATGAGACACTAATTGAGGTTGAAGTCCACAAATCCTGACCAGTTTCAAGGTATGGTTCCATCTGATGGGCTGGAAGAGGGGAAAGTAGGTTTTTCAAGGCAGGCCCATCTGCTTTTTTAAGATCGTCTGGCCTGGTCATTTGATGCACAGGGTTCTGCTCTGCCGCGGTGGCCGCGTCCCCGTGGGTTTATTCACACCCCGTGGGGCAGGTATGAAGGAGAAGGTCATGGTCTCATTTTGTACCTCACCTTCAGAAGGGAATAAAGGGAAGGGGTTGAGGTAATTGGGAAAGGGTAAAAATGCATGTCATGGGCAGCCCTGCCTAGGTGCTAGGAGGCTGTTCCCTCGTTATAGGCCACACAGCCCCCTGCTTTTGGGGAGCAGAACTCTTGAGCTGAGTCCCCCAAGGCGGAGGACTTGTGTTTTGTCCAACATGGCAGCCACCATGCATGGCTTACAGTAGGTGTTCAGTGAATATTTGTTAGAACAATAAATTGGACATGTTAATCCAAGGTGTATTTTAGCTGTAGCTGGTAGGACACCCCTTTCTGTCCTTACTGCTCCCGTCGCCTCTTCTCTGTCCTACGGATGCCCTGAGCTGTCACCTGAGTTACCTTCAGGTGACCCTGCCGACCTGAAGTGAGGCTTTGTGTAGGAGGGCGGACCAGGCAGACTTTTCGTAAGAAAAAAGACCCGCTTGACTACACAAGAGGCTGGACAGAAAAGCCAGGAAGGTGAGCCCATCCCACTTATCAATACTTTAGTCACAAGGGACAGGTCGGACAGGTGAGACTGGAGGCATAAGCCAGGCCCAGGGGGTCCTGACTGCTGGGAAGGGGAATCCCAACAGGACTGGGGTCCGAGGGTGGGAAAAACCCACCAAGTGTAGCACGTGGTATTCCCGAGGTACAGCTAGACTGAGGCCAGCCTCTCTCACGTCAGGGAAGCTTCTAGGCCTTCTCTCTTACAGCTAACTTTCCATCACTCTCTAGCCGTGACCTTAAAAGTCTTTTCCTTTAATGCTGTAGTTTGGAAGCGTCTGGGTCACAGCAGAGTCCCAGGGTGCGGCCCGAGGAGCAACAGTCCAGGCGCTGCCTTCCTGCTTCCACCCTCCAGGTTGAAACTCCACGGGAAGGCCCGGGGCCAGGAAACAGCGCCTCACCTGTGCGTCCAGGCTCCGGGCACGCTGCCCCGAGAAGAGTTTGTATTTGCTGGCTGGAAGCATTTAACTGGCAAAGGTGCTCCCTCGATCTAAGGAGGAAACCGTGCCCTGGGTCACTAAGCCCCCCCGCGTAGGCTCCAGTCGTCTCTTGAATGAGCTGGTTTCAAATCCTAGGCAAAGGCTGACCTTGGCGCCATCTGTCCCAAGAAATAATGGACCCCGCCTAAGATTTTCTTACAGGGTCTGATCTTAGAGAATTTGGATTCTGTTTGTGGACTCAGCTTATCAAAGGTGCTGTTGGCACAGCAGGAATCAGCACCAGGTGTGAGCACCTGCTGCTTCAGCAGGACTGGGTTTCCCATTAACTGGTGGGTCCCAGGCTCCAGCCAGCCCTAGAATTCAGCTAATCCTACGATGCCAATGGGCTGGCATGACAGCTGCTTGAGTGCTGTGTGTCTTGGAGGCAGAAAGCTCCTGCCAAGACCTCATCCAGCTTTAAGTATTTGGGTAACAACAGCAAAGCTGAGATTCCTGAAAAGAGAAGGCGGATACGAGCCAGGGTTTGCCTGGCTTTTCAAGGAGGATGAAAGGAAGCCAGGCCCCAGTTGCCTAACTTTACAGGGAAAAATTTGTTAGAATCCCAGAGAAGTCGAGACCTCTTAGCTCTGTCTTGAGAAGGGGCCCATGTGCTTCCCACAGTTGTGGTTCTCCATTACCCAGTCCGTGAATACGTGCCCGTGAGACTTCTGGAAAAAGCTATGCCAGGCCTGTGCTTGGCTGTGAGGGGGCCGGTGTCCACCACTGTGTGCTGAAAATGTGTGAGCAGCTCAGCCTTGCTAAAGCCTCACGCAGCGCCCTGCCCCGTAAGGTGTCATGGTGAGGGCTCATTTTCTTTGCAGACAAGACTGAATGCCCAGCCGTGGCGGGGACAAGTTCCTGGGCTGTGGTACCACGAACCTGTGCTCTGTTAATTCTGGTTAGTGAACTAGACCAGCCAGACTGAAGCCATTCTGCAGGAATACACCCCGACTGTGGAGCGCGCTCAGTGCGTGTCTTAGCTCCACCAGGGGGACAGCACAGCCGAGGGGCCGACAGTGTAAGAAAGGCCTCTTACGCAGGTAAGAACAATCCAGCTGACATACACACAGCCTTTATACTCTCGTCAGCAGGTGAAGTGACAGGGACACACTCGGTGCCATGTCATGCCAAAGCAGAAGTAGAGAAGGAAAACGGGTTAAGACATGAGGTCGTCTTGCGTTGATCTTGGTTGTGATGAAAGAGTTTTGAACTAAGATGTCCAAGCCTCCAGATTTTACAGAAATCTCACAGAAATTTGCAAGGGCCAGAAAAAAGGGGACAGGGGCAGGGAGGGCGCGATGAGCAGAAAGGACATGGAAACTGAGTGTCACACACATGAGCCGCGAAGCTGAAGACATGATACCTGGTGAGTCATTGCGGAGTTTCCTGGGGGAGGGGGCCTCTGAAACAGAGAGAGAGAGTCCCTGGTGGTTACCATTGGGAGCCCATGTACGCGCCTTTTCAGTCAGGAAAGGCATTTGCTTCAATGAAATAATTACAGGCACTTCGAAGTCAACCTTGCAGCGAAGCACCTGAAGCCCAGAGCTCTTAGAGAGGCTGGCCCAAGGAGGACAGGCCGTTTTTATAAATCAAAAAGCACATGTCCTTCCGAGCCTCTTTAAGAGCGCAGCTGGCTTCCTTTTGTTATGGGGACCTGTTCAGGAAGGTGAAGGCATCTGAGTTCAAAGATCCACGTGGGAACAGAACCTGAGAAGTTCAGGCAAAGAAACTGTTGAAAATCTCACTTTATTATGCCCTTAGCAAGAAGGTAGAGGTGGACGCCTGTGTCATCTCCTGTTGGAGATGACTAGCAATGTGGCACGTGATGGGGGACACTGGTCAGGCGCTATGGGGGGCTTGTGTCGAGATTCATCTGGTTGATAAAACTGAAACCTGCTTTGCAATTCCTTGTTCTCTGAGGAGCTGGTTAGGCTTGCCAACCTCACGCAGAGCTCTACTTTGAGGAAAATCTGTGTTTAATTTTAGGTTCTTGTGTATCTAGAAGACTTGGTGAAGGCAGAAAGCCTGTGTTAGGGCAGTAAAAACGGTTTCATCCATACTGGCCTGTATGGGACCTCAGAAGGGTCAGTTGTATGGGGCAGAACCCACAGGGATGTTCGGCACACCCCAAGAAAAGGGAGCAGTGACGGCTAAG